GGTATGCAGTGCGTGTGGAGAGGAAGAGCAAACTGCTGAACACTTGATAATGTTCTGTAGAGGGCTTCACCCTATAGTTCAGGATGAGGGCGCAGAGTTTTTCAAAGCACTGGGGTTTAGGGACAGGGAGGGCAAAATAGACTTTAAGCGGGTAGACTTAACTAGAAGGAGGTTATCTGATTGGTGGCTAAAGTCAAGGCACGAGTGAAAATAAACTCTTTACTGCAAAGTACGAATCCTCAAACTCACTTTTAAAGAGAAAAAAAATAAATCTAGTTTTTGGTTCATTAAGTATTACGGCTTGGTGGTGCTAGCCACCACCCGATCTAAAGGGTACAGCCATATCCATCCATCCATCCATCCGTAGGACCGGTTCGCCCGCCACAGAAAACTCCTTCGCGCCGCATGGGCAATGTGGAGCACGTTCGTTTGCTGCTGTGCTGGTGCTGCGTTTTTTGGTGCTGGTACTGCTCCTGGTGTTTGTGTGGAGTGGAATAATGGGCAAGTGTTTTGTGCCCTTTTGCAACAGCAGCTACAAATCCTGCAATGAGAAGTACGCTCTTTTCACGCCGCCAGCGAACGAAGAAAGACTTCAGGCGTGGAGGCGTGCGATACCTCGAAAAGACCGCGTGTTGCAAAGGACCGACCATGTGTGTGTGAAAGGCACTTCGCTCCCCATTTCGTGCTTACGACGTGGTCCTCAGTATTTAACGGACATGTTTTAATGCCCGGAAAGAAGAGAGCTGGGCTCACCAAGGATGCTGTGCCATCTATTTTCGATGTTGCTCCTGGCTGCTTGTCAAAAAAGATTAAGAGCCCTCGAAAGAAGACAATACGGCAGACAAGTGGCAAGCTAACCCGCACTTTTACCCGCGCTAAACGCTGTGAAGAAACCGCGGAGCAAGAGAGCCACGCTCGTTCGCTCGCAGAAAATGCAGTGCCGAAGCAAAGTGCTTGTGCAAACGAAGTTGGCGACACCACCGAAGCCGCAATTGTGCATTCTACCCACGTTTCTACCCTGTCTGTGTTTGATCGACTGTTCGCGTCAGTTGCAAACATGTGCCTTCCCTCGTCATCGTGGGCTGTCCATCGAATTGACAGCGACGGATTTAAGGATGTCCTGTTCAATGACGCTTCCGTGCCTCGCAACAGCAGTGACGGACCTGGTGTACCGTTTAACAGAAAATCTGTGCACATCAAAAGCGACATGACTGTGCAATTGTTTATATTTGGCAAGCCTATTCAACCCAGTGATGTTTGCATAAGTTCACTTGCTACATCGGTGCTTGAATTTGAAGAGATGGTACGAGCTGTGGCAAATTTAGAAGTTTGCTCTGGAGGGCCAAGCTTGAAAGATTTACCGAATGTCTCTCCGCAATGTGCGTACGTCGATTGTGAAAGGCAATGGCGGCACAACAAATGTCCACATGTGTCACCCGGTAATGCCATTTGTCGGTCGTGCAGAGCCTTAGTTGACACTTTGAGAATACATAATGACCAGCGGATTGCAAGACCTTGACAGAGGCAACCACCTAAGCACATCAGGATCTCTGTACTGTCTGATCAGAAGGAGAAGCTGGACGCTTTGCGGAAAGCAAAGTCTGCATTGCGACGATCACGCGCACAACTGGTGAAGCGCAACCAACTGCTTGCGGAGCAGCTTCAGAGTACCAGACAAGAATTAATGAAGTTGCAGGATGATGAAATCAGAGAGAAGCTCCGAAGGCTTGACATTCCACCAATGCAGCTTGTTCTCCTGGAAGAGTGTATCTCTGCTGCTAGAGCAACAAGCTCGAAGAACAGAAGGCATTCCGACGACTGGCTGCTGATGTGCCTTTTGATGCATATTAGAAGCCCTGCGTCTTACTCCTTTCTTTGAAATAATGAAATACTACTTTTGTCATGTGTCTCCACGATCAGAAAATACATAAACATGGTGGGACTGAAGTGTGGCTTTGATGATGAGTTTTTCGATGCCCTAAAGGTTAAAATTTCCAGTAAGTCAGCCTTCCAGCGCAGAGGAATGCTCATCCTTGATGAAATTCAGGTCAGGAAATAAATGTGTGTAAACTCAAAAACCATGACTTATGCTGGCCTTGTCGATCATGGTGAGGGTATCGGCCAGAAAGACGAGTTGGCTGATCATGGGTTGGTGTTCGCATTTGCACCATTCGGTGAGCACTACTTGCAGCCAATAGCTGTGTTCGCTTGCAAAGTACCGACGAAAGGGACACTTTTAGCCCAGTTATTGCTTCAGTGCATTGTACGTTTGGAGCAGGCTGGCGTTATTATTGATGGCGTTGTTTGCGATGGTGCGTCCAGAAATAGGGCGATGTGGAAGACATTAGGTGTCAGTGGTGCCAAAGGGCGTGTGGTAAATTCATTTGAGCATCCATCAAATCCATCAAGAAGAGTACATGTGGTCGCAGACGTGCCCCACCTTTTCAAGTGCATTCGGAATCGTTTGCATGACAAGAAAATCCTAAAGAGGAAGGGCAAACTGATAAAATGGTCCTGCTATGATGCTCTGTTTGTAGCAGACTCGAAAAATGCTGGAGATCTTCGAGTGTGCCCGAAAATTTCATACAATCATGTGAATCCCTCAAATATGCTGCGCATGAGAGTTAAGCTGGCTATTCAACTTTTCAGCTGATCTGTTGCGAAGGGGCTGCAGTTTTACGCACGTCGAGGAGCACCGCGTTTGTATGATGAGGAACCCACTGTGGAATTTACATTGCTGTTAAATGATACGTTTGATTCCCTCAACAGACGCTTTCCTGCTGAAAGATTAACACCTGGGTGCAAAGATTTTGACGTCCTCATCAAGGCTTCTAAGTGGCTTGATGATTGGGAGGAAGAAGTGTTGCGGGGTGAAATACACAAAGACCTCTTTTTTACGCAGTCTACAGCCGATGGACTACGGGTTACGTTAAAATCAGTAAGGGAATTGTCACTGTACCTTCTGGAGCACTGTGACTTTAAGTATGTGCTTACAGGTAAAATGGACCAGGACCCTTTAGAGTGCTTCTTCGGCATCATCAGACAAGCGGGTGGCCAAAATGAGCATACCACTTTCCCTACTTTCTGGCAACTCTACCGCATGCTGTCGCTCTATTCGCTGCTAAAACCACCACGGTTTGGAAACTGTGTGGCACCAGAAAAGCGACAGTCTGCCTTTATTACTCTAGCCGACTTTAGGGAAATATTTAAGTCTTCCTCAGCCCAGCGCGCTGGAAAGATTGAAGAGCTGAAGCAGAAGCTTGATGGCTTAGTAAGCACCGGAAAGTGGGAGTGTGACGAGGTATTCGAGCATGATTATTCAAATGCTACTGTTGTTGAGTGCATCGTCTATTATGTGATAGGATTTGTCACACGGAAGCTGAGCAAGAAAGCATCCTGTGCTACTTGCAAACAAGCTCTCGAAGGAAAAACTGGCATTTGTGGTGCTTTTGAGGCAGCCCTTGTGAACTGCAAGACAAGAGGTAACCTGAAGCACCCAAACGTCCTCCTTTATCATCTCTTCAAGGAAGCTGAGGAACATTTCTCGAAGTATGCCAGCGAGAGAGATGTTTATGACAAAACGACAGATGCTGTCCTGGAAAACTTTAATTTCACGTTTCCGTGTGCTCTCCACAGAGAGGATATGCTAGCCAAGCTGCTACATCATTACACATGTCTCCGCATGCGGCAGTATTGCCGACAACTCAAGAAAAACCAAGCCAAGAAAAGCCAGAATTTGCGGAAGATGTCGAAGTTTGTGTGAGAGCTTTGTGACCCGATGAAAATTTGAAATCGTAACTTTTGTTCAATTTGTGTTATTCATTACATAAGTATGCTTTCTGTAGATCGCTATTAGTGTTTGGAAATTTCGGTGCCTTTTTGAACGCTTGTTCTCTATAATAAATTTTCGTGAGGTCACTAAGTTGTCGGGTACTTGTTTATTTATAACAATTTATCAGGCAGTGATGTATCGCCCACCAACCGCATGAATCTGTAATGTAGTTAGCGCAATCTTCGCCGCACTCGTCGAAAAAATTCAGAGATTTATTCTCTCTGGTATAAACAAGCACTGTGTGGAACCGATATGCTTGATGTGAAACCGATACTTACGCGCAGTGGGTTAATTTAAATTACGAGGTTTAAGGTAATAAAATTCCGAATTTGTAGATGTCTTACCGTGGGTTTCTGAATTAATTGCGGTCCCTTGTGATTCTTACGAAGGTAAGACGTCGAAAGAAACAGTCGTTTCAGTATGCCGCTTCTTTCGGAACGCAGTCGCTGCACATGCGAGCGCCTGACATGGGGATGTCTTTTGCTTCAGCGATCTTCTAAAGTGGCTAAACGTGATAACAGCGTGCTACGTCTTCTGCGAAATAGTTAAGGCACCATTGCATTTAAAGTATTATCCATTTGCATGCTTATGAGCGAGCAGAGTTTCAAGTAAACTCCAGGCCGCGATGCTTCCGCCCGCCTACCGAAACGGCCGGAGCATCGTTGGCCGGGCAGTAGTTGGTAGCGCCATCTGTGGGGGCTATTGAGAAGGAGAACTATACGGGAACGGGCAAAGTGGCGTCGTTCTCTCACCTAAGTATTCTTGCACCGTGGTCTACTCGCTAGGCTACGCATTGGAAGACTCGCATTGCTGCGCCTACTCGCTAGGCTGTGTGTTCTGGCGCTATCAGCAGATGTCTTAACTGCATTGCCTGGTGCCTATATAGCAGTCGAATAACCAGAGGAGTGTTCTTAGAAGAAAAAAATATTGCCGCTACCGAGGGGCACCCGGAAGTATACAAAGGGAACCAACGTGGATTACACCCAAACACGCAATCTTAGGGACGTGCAGGCGGCTTCATGCACCATCTTGCTCAATCTATTAGTGCTGAAGTGTGCAGATGCTCGAGGTAATGTGAAAACTGATTTCATATGACTTGATGGTTGGGTTGTAGCGATTGGACCTGCTTGTAACTCTGTCTTTTTTTCTCTCTCTCTCTCTACCACAGCGTTTCCCGAAAAAGCCAAGGCGATCCCGGGTAAGCATTTTCTACCACATGGGACTGACGGGTTGTAATAACAGCTTGACTTGACATAACGTCATCTATTGGGACTCCGCCAGCATGATTGCGACAGCAGAGAAGCGCCCGTCGGCACGGCTGCATTTAGAATCCGCGCATATACAAACAACTAAAACGCAATGAAATGGACGCGAGGTAATCTCCCCGAAAAATACATTCTACATTCGCACTCATCTTTTCACGCCGATGACTAAAAGCGGCAGGGAGATCAACATCACCACCCACCCCTTGTTTGCGGCAATGCCGATGATGTAGCTAATTGTTCCTCGTTTTCAATCATTCTGCCACCTTTCCCCCTCTCCCAATACGTCTCAACAAGGCGTGCAGGTCTAGTGATCCTGAATACGTTGTAACCAGGCACGCTGTCTGGTCACATAGGTGGACGCTGTTCGCAGGCGCACCGCCGCGGTGTTCTAGTGGCTAAGGTACTCGGCTGCTGACCCGCAAGTCGCGGGATCGAATCCCGGCTGCATTTTCGGTGGAGGCGAAAATGCTGTAGGCCCGTGTGCTCAGATTTGGGTGCACGTTAAAGAACCCCATGGAGGTGGTCAAAATTTCTGGAGCCCTCCACTACGGCGTCTCTAATAATCATCTGGTGATTTTGGGACATTGAACCCCACATATCAATCAACCAATCAGCCAATCAATCAAATCATGTTCGCAGGCGAGTGCTCCTTCGAGCGCGACATGTGCGGCTGGACCAACCACACGGACACGGCTCCGACGACCAACCTGGTAGGGCGCGTGGGCTCGGCGCCCAGAGACTCTCTCACCTGGAGGCTGGCGTCGGTGGTCAGCCGGCCGGCCAACCTGCAGGACCACACGTACCGGGCACCGAGTGAGTTACGTCGCACCTTATGTACCACCATTGTGCGGGCGCAGCACGAGAAGCAGACCCCGGCCGAGAAAGAAAGAACCCGACGCATGTGTTTTGCGTTTTGTATGCCAGTCAGAACGCACTCATAGATGTCCCATTACCATTTCTTTCTCGCACATACACATTTGTGCACGTTATAAATAACTGGCCGCCCAGCTATCTTTCACTGCATACACAGGTGCAGCCAGATGTCTGTCTTTCACCCGGAGGGGTTGATCAGCAGTTAAGTTCTTACACTTCTAAGCTTGTCGACGTCAGTTCACTTCCCGGCCACGGCGGGCACACTTAAGGTCAGGCGAGATTCACGCGGTTAACGCTTAAGCACCCTTAAACATGTTCTAAATAGATATAGGGGGCCAAAATTATTCTGCAGTATGCTTCTGCGGCGTCCCCTCATTACCGGTAGGGTTTATTTGTGCGTAAAAAGTGACTATTCTTCATTTATATCCATGCGTTATCACTCAAGGTCCACTTTTTTCTGCCTCCCCGCTCGCAGCTGGCTACATCTTCTTCGACATATTCAACCAGAACTCGGTGCAGAACCCAGTCCTCCGCAGTTCGACCATCCCGGCTCTCGAAGGCCAGGCCGAGCGATGCCTGAGCTTCTGGTTCGCTCCTTTCGGTCGTGGCGAGTCGTCCACTCTGAGCGTGTTTCAGGCACCCGAGGCGCCCCCAGCGGGCGACGATGGCGCCACCAACGGAAACGCAGCCGCGCCGCGAACTCTTCTGTGGCGCCTGTCTACGCGCCGCATGGACACCAGCCGGCCGGACTGGCGATACGGACAAGTCAAAGTGGCCGCTGAGGCACCGTTCAAGGTCAGTCTAAATCAGTCAGTCAATAAATCCAGTCAATCAATCAATCAATGGAACTTTTTGATGAATGCAATACTCAATGCAGAGTGGTTATTTGGACCGTAGACTAAAGTGCCTAGTTGCGAGTACAGTGCAACTATGTGCAACAAAAAAATGTACTTAATGGACAGCTAACGCGAAAGTAAACAAAACTGATCATATCAATATTGTGAGCGCAGTCATTGATTCTTCATTGTCAACTGGACGTGTCATCATTATTTGTACAACTTCCTCATCCGTATTTATCGTCCGTGTGTGTCAGCTCAAGCTCGTCTTGAATAAAAGGATTCCTCATAAGTGATGGAGATCCTGCGATTCCTCATAACATATATACGCAGGCACATACTTGTGCATACTTATTAGCATTGAGCCTGTAGCTGCTATACATGGGTACTTATTTGAAAAAAAAATGAAAATCACATCAAACAATTCGTACTAGCATACGCATAGGTTTTCATGTCTTGAATTGATAGGGAAACATGGAAGGCATGCTACAGGCTTACGTCATGTCAAATTTGAACTGCAAGGGGACTATTTTCCATATTTTATTTCCAGTAAATTCGAGTGGTCTTTCGTCAACGCATGCCACTCGGGTAGAATGAATTTACCGCTTGAAACGTGTCCTTCTCTGCGTATAGTAATGTTCTAACCGGTAGAGGTGACTTTCTATTGTGGCATTTATTTAATATTAAATATAGGTTAAGGAAAGTCCTTCTTTTCAGAATTTAGACACTCAAGGCTATTCCATTTTGCGAAAGACCGGCATAGTTGATGGGGGCATCGCCAGCTCTGCTCTCGTCGCCATTCCAACTCTATTCCAATGTTCCGCACCCGTGTGTTAGTGATTTTAAATGAAAAGAATAGAAAAGTGAGCCCCATAACTGTCTTTCAGGGGGAGGACACCTCAACTGTAGCTCACGAGAGGGGGGGGGGGGGGAGTGTAAAGGAGGGATTAAATGGATAGGATTAAAAGGTAAATATATATAGAGAGATGAAGGAGCTAGGCGCAGGGACAGCGAATGACAGAAAACGACGGAAGCAAAGAGGAGATAGGAAAGATGGACACGGTCGCAGTAGTCCGAGAGCGGGGCACCACTCGGTGAGAGCTCTTGTCGGCGTCAGGAGATGGCGTAGGGCGAGCCGGTCGGCCAGAGATGCGCTGTTGTCGGAGATCACGGGGGCACTACCGGTCGGCACGAAATCCAGAGAGCGAGTTTACTGACGCTTCCTGCACCTTCCGCAGTGTTGCAAAGCATCGTGGATCGGCGCACCATTGACGTTTAAGGCCCGACCACGCGTAAACTGATCGATTGATTGATTGATTGATTGATTGATTGATTGATTGATTGATTGATTGATTGATTGATTCTAGAAAGGAGAGAAGAAGGCACCTAATTTCTGTCTGCCTCTTGGGCGACATGGCGCAGTGCCTTGTAATGAAAGGGGTATGAAAGGGAGGATAGGGGTGATAGAAGTGTGTGTGTGTGTGTGTGTGTGTGTGTGTGTGTGTGTGTGTGTGTGTGTGTGTGTGTGTGTGTGTGTGTGTGTGTGTGTGTGTGTGTGTGTGTGTGTGGGTGTAGAAAGTCGAGGCGTGTTCGTCATGGCTGGAGCGGCAAAGAGGCGGCAGCAGGGGCAAGGTTCCAGCGTTGCAGGTCGTGAGCGCGTGGCGTGCACATTAGTAGTGTATGTTTATTATTTTTTATTATTTATTTATTTTCACCAAAACAAATACAATGGCGAAAAAATGAGGAGACAGCAAAAAAGCTGCAGTTATTGCAGCTTGACTAAGCACCGTCCACCCTACGTCAGCAATGACAGGGTGAAAACGAAATACAATGAAATGAAAAAAATAAATATTATAGAGCAGGAAACAATTCAAGCAGAAGACAAAGTAAATGACAGGCCAAGGTATACAAACAAAAAGGAATATTTCGTAAACACATGAGCACAGTAATTCGCAAAGTATGTATCATCGCTTTCGTACACAAGAAAGGTACACAATGAGGTTACACAAAAGAAATAATAAGGAAAAAAATATATATAAAGTTACACAATAAATGATGCAAAGCAATACAGAGTGACCTATGTAAACAGTACAAATCTACAAGAATAGTGTTTGCACATCGATATTGTTTAATGTGTCAATTTTTATGTCCCGTTGCTCGTGTGAGGTCAATATTGTCGGTAGCATGTGGCTAAGTCTTTGGGTGCCGTAACTGGTGCGAGATAACGCAATTTTCCACGGGGGTTCATATCGATGGAAGTAATTGGCTTGTGTATGTTCAAGATTTGCAAGTGTCAGGAATGCGTCGAGTTTCTCTCGGCACCGCACCCTCTGCATAAAAGAGACGGGGCGAGTGGCTACGCGATGGTGCACCCCCCTCCCTCCTCTCTGTAAAGAAGGTGAGACGCCGAGTCTATACACCATGCGCTGCAACGCGTACGCATACGGTCGAGCCTTTAAGCGATGCCATGTGACGTTGCAAATTTCGTTATGTGACGTCATGCTGACGTCACACGATAACGAAGATGTGTTAACGGAACTGTGCGTTGACAGATACACTATCGATGGTCGGTCTATTCAATATTACAGGACTGCTCAACGCGTTTAAGTGATGCGTCCCCTCTTCGTTTTTGCAGCACGCAGATATAATGATGAATGATTGGGTTTGGCATCCAAAAATCGCGATAGAATACGAGGAACGCCGTGATGGAGAGCTTTGCAAATTTCGACCGCTCGGGGTTCTTCAACGTGCACGTAAATCTAAGTACATGGCCCTCGAGTGTTTTCGCTTCCATCGAAAATGTGGCCTCCGTGGCCGGGATTTGATCCCGCGACCTTAGGGGCCAACAGCCGAGCGTTTACAACCACTAGATAACAGTGGCGGATCTACAACACTCAGAAGTCCCGGCGTCGCTAGGTCAATTCAAAGTTGCGAGTCGTAATTGCAACTTCAACTTGCTTCAGAAAAAAAAAATGTATTTGAAATTCTCGTAGTCTAAGCCGCCTTAACCCTATCAGCCCTGGAATTTTCGTTTTTGCCAGATACATTCTTAGTGCGTATTTTACTAGTAGTTGGTATCTAAGAAGACCACATGCAGAATATTAGTCAGTATTGTAAGTATTTATGAATCAATTTACAACCTTGACATCAGGTTAGATCATCATGCCCTATAGTCATGAAATGAAAAAAAAATAGTGAAGTTATTTCTGCGATGCCCTAGAGTTCACAAAGTCTGAACAAACGTAGTATTTGAGAGTGCTAGAGCTCTTAAAACAACTTCAGGACTTCAACCCAATGGGGCCGCCTTCCAGCCTCTGCTTGCCTGCGTCATCGTCACCAACGAACTCGGCTCAGATTCTTCTTTTTTACGGCTCCATGCTCCGTAAAAATCACGGTGCAAGAATACTTAGGTGAGAGAACAGCGCCACTTCTCCCGTCCCCGTATAGTTCTCCTTCTCAATAGCCCCCACAGATGGCGCTACCAACTACTGCCCGGCCAACGATACTCCGGCCACTTCGGTAAGCGGGCGGAAGCATCGCGGCTTGGAGTTCACTTGAAACTCTGCTCGCTCATAAGTACGCAAATGGATAATACTTTAAATGCAACGGTGCCTTAACTATTTCGCAGAAGACGTAGCACGCTGTTATCACGTTTAGCCACTTTGTAAGATCGCTGAAGCAAAGGACATTCCCTTGTTTGGCGCTCGCATGTGCAGCGACTGCGTTCCGAAAGAAGCGGCATACTGAAACGACTGTTTATTTCGACGTCTTACCTTTGTAAGAATCACAAGTGACCGCAATCAATTCAGAAACCCACGGTAAGACACCTACAAATTCGGAATTTTATTACCTTAAACCTCGTAATTTAAATTTACCCACTGCGCGTAAGTATCGGTTTCACATCAAGCATATCGGTTCCACACAGTGCTTGTTTATACCAGAGGGAATAAATCTCTAAATTTTTTCGACATGTCCGGCGAAGATTGCGCTAACTACATTACAGATTCATGCGGTTGGTGGGCGATACATCACTGCCTGATAAATTGTTATAAGTAAACAAGTACCCGACAACTTAGTGACCTCACGAAAATTTATTATAGAGAACAAGCGTTCAAAAAGGCACCGAAATTTCCAAACACAAATAGCGATGTACAGAAAGCATAGTTATGCAATGAATAACACAAATTGAACAAAAGTTACGATTTCAAATGTTCATCGGGTCACAAAGCCACCACACAAGCTTCGACATCTTCCGCAAATCCTGGCTTTTCTTGGCTTTTCTTGGCTTGGTTATTCTTGAGTTGTCGGCAATACTGCCACATGCGGAGACATGTGTAATAATGTAGCAGCTTGGCTAGCATATCCTCTCTGTGGAGAGCACACGGAAACGTGAAATTAAAGTTTTCCAGGACAGCATCTGTCGTTTTATCATAAAGATCTCTCTCGCTGGCATACTTCGAGAAATGTTCCTCAGCTTCCTTGAAGAGATGATAAAGGAGGACGTTTGGGTGCTTCAGGTTACCTCTTGTCTTGCAGTTCACAAGGGCTGCCTCAGGAGCACCACAAATGCCAGGTTTTCCTTCAAGAGCTTGTTTGCAAGTAGCACAGGATGCTTCCTTGCTCAGCATCTGTGTGACAAATCCTGTCACATAATAGACGATGCACTCAACAACAGTGGCATTTGAATAATCATGCTCGAATACCTCGTCACACTCCCACTTTCCAGTGCTTACTAAGCCATCAAGCTTCTGCTTCAGCTCTTCAAGCTTTCCAGCGCGCTGTGCTGAGGAAGACTTAAATATTTCCCTAAAGTCGGCTAGAGTAATAAAGGCAGACTGCCCCTTTTCTGGTGCCACACAGTTTCCAAACCATGGTGGTTTTAGCAGCGAATAGAGCGACAGCATGCGGTAGAGTTGCCAGAAAGTAGGGAAAGTGGGATGCTCATTTTGGCCACCCGCT